AATACCTCTTGATTTTCTCAAAAAAAAAGTTCTCTTGCCTGGCCCTTGTCTTCTGTCATTACAATTGTTGTGGGGAATGGATCATGCGTCAGACTGTGGGGATCGAGGAGTCTATTCTGTCGTCGTATGATAAATTAGTCATGTCGAGAATTATAGGTGTTGTTTTCCTTTGAACCGTTTCTAGAACATGTGAGTCTCCTTTAAGAAAAGACTGACATTATCCCAAAGAGGTCACTAAACAGTTCATTATAACAGTTTTCTTTCGATACAAAAATAGTAAAGACTTGCCTGCTCTTCAGTAGTTAACTATTGTAACAAACAGCAGGCAGTATATTGGACAGTGTCCAGGAGTACGTATCGTCATTGCACCATCACACCTCATTTTGAGGATATAATCTCTAATTCTATTGAGTTCTCCATTGTATAACTAAATCAAATTATACCTTCCCGATGCGTCTGATTAGTGAGTTCCAAAAGGATCAACTGTTTAATTTATGCGCGAATAATGGATCAGTTGGAGTGACCAAAGCAAGCACATTCAGGGAAAACACGGTCTATTCAGAGGAGTGCAATTTTGGGATTCATCGAAAAACAGAGCCTGAGATATAAACGGATTCCAGAACACCAGAACACACATAGTCATCTTTTTAACAGTACTGAGACGTCGACCACACCTCAATTTTCATCAGTCCCTCTAAGTCAGAGATAATGTCGACGACCAATGTGTGACTGCCACACTTCACCTCCAACCACACAGCAAACCAACACTGCCCCACCCCAACTCAGCACTTAAACACGCAACAGACAGTCCCCTCTGTACAACACCCAAGAGTGTGGATATTGTCACTGCGTCCAATAGCACTTCGCCTAGCAGCCTGTAGAGATGCATTCACTCATCCTGTCATCATTTGACCCAACTCCCTCAAAACCCCTGCCCCGGGAGAGGCTCGAACTCTCGACCTCCGCATTATAAGTACGGCGCTCTAACCAACTAAGCTACCGGGGCAGGACGCCTGGCCACTACACACTCACCACTTAAACCAATCAATATGCATTTCAAACATTAATTCAAATGCACAACTGCTGAACACAACATCTCACCATTCCACCACGCCCCTTCTCTTTCAAATATTACACCATCATACATATACTTCCAACACATATGATACGGAGTACTATTCATCCTTGATTAACCTCGACAAACTATAAACATTCTGGAGAATAATCAATAAGAAGTGGAATTCACTCAACATACCACTTCTTACAACAATGTTGTATGTGCTATCTACCATGATCTGCCTACGTCTGTTGTTAACAGTAGCTGTCCACAGTTATGTAACTTGACTTAATGTCAGTCACCATAGGCTGTATACTTTCGTCAGAAAAAGTACCCCTAATGTCTTCTAGTTTGCCATTAGATATTAATACGATTTTGCTTTATACTATTGAGTTTGATTAGTCAATCGGTGTTATTCTTCTCTGATCAGTTTGACAACTATATCACTACGCCATAAAATCCGCAATTAATGTCATATGACATTGAGGTAGGGATACGAAGCGAATAGCAATTCTCTTCGATATAACAGGAAATTTTAAATATGGTGAAGACTCACGAAGACACTAAAATTGCCAAGTTTACCGACCTGGTAGTCACCGTGTTAGAGTGTCTACGCTAGTCAGGAACGGTAGATAATTTTTGAGAAAATTATGAGACATTTTGGAGAAGAATAGAAAACCCACCGGAACAGTTTTTTGCAGCTTTCTTAAATACTTCCACAGCCATCCCCGAAAACTTCTTTGGCATCTCCAATTTGAAAAACTTTTAGAGGCTGACGGTATCGGCGGTCGCGAATTGCACGGAGTACACCAGCGCAAGATCTTATAACAACTTCCTCGTGTACCAAAGACAGAGCAAAACGCCACAAATGGTCGTCCAAAGTAAGAGATATATTTTGGGACCAAATAGTAAACCGTGATTAATGCATAACTAGCTAGTGATCGTGCACGAACGTGCCACGACGGAGTACGAAATGGAATGGATGTCTGACCGGAAGCCTTTAGCTAAACAATTCGACTTAAACGGTGAGGGTCAGCATTCAATGTTCAGTGATGATTGCTGTGGTCAATAATTTTGGGGAATTATTCACCGCTACACACTGGTGGGTAGCAATGGAGTTGGTAACATAACTATGGACAGCTACTGTTAACAACAGACGTAGGCAGATCATGGTAGATAGCACAGACAACATTGTTGTAAGAAGTGGTATATTGAGTGAATTCCACTTCTTATTGATTATTCTCCAGAATGTTTATAGTTTGTCGAGGTTAATCAAGTATGAATAGTACTCCGTATCATATGTGTTGGAAGTATATGCATGATGGTGTAATATTTGCAAGAAAAGGGGCGTGGTGGAATGGTGAGATGTTGTGTTCAGCAGTTGTGCATTTGAATTAATGTTTGAAATGCATATTGATTGGTTTAAGTGGTGAGTGTGTAGTGACCAGGCGTCCTGCCCCGGTAGCTTAGTTGGTTAGAGCGCCGTACTTATAATGCGGAGGTCGAGAGTTCGAGCCTCTCCCGGGGCAGGGGTTTTGAGGGAGTTGGGTCAAATGATGACGGGATGAGTGAATGTATCTCTACGGGCTGCTAGGGGAAGTGCTATTGGACACGGTGACAATACCCACACTCTTGTGTGTTGTACAGGGGGGACTGTCTGTTGCATGTTCAAGTGCTGAGGTGGGGTGGGGTAGTGTTGGTTTGCTGTGCGGTTGTAGGTGAAGTGTGGCAGTCACACATTGGTCGTTGACATTATCTCTGACTTAGAGATGATGAAAATTAAGGTGTGGTCGACGTCTCAGTACCGTTAAAAAGATGACTATGTGTGTTCTGGAATCGGTTTATATCTCAGGCTCTGTTTTTCGATGAACCCTAAAATTGCACTCCTCTGGATAGACCGTGGTTTCCCCATATACGCTGTTTTGGCGACTGCAATTGATCCATTATTCACGCATAATTGAAACAATTGATCCTTCTGGAACTCCTTAATCAGATAAATAAGAGAAGACAATTTAGTTTGGTGATATAACCTATGAGCTTAATCGTTTGTGAGTCATATTCTGGGGTCACTGCTATAGTATAAATTTTCCTCAGTGTCTTCGTGTTGACCTAAGGTTACGGTGCATCTATCTGTGTTGAATGTTTCACTCCTTTGTTCTACTTTCGTCCGTCGGATACTGCTTGTTACCTTTTCGTGAATATCAACTGACCCCTACTTCTAACTCTTCAC